CCCGTGGGGGACCCTGTTCCCCCCCCCCCCCCCCCCCCCGTTCCTTCCCCTCCATAGACTTACCTGAAGGGAGTTGCTCTCCAAGCTGCCCGGCTGTTTTCATGGCCACATGCATGTGTGTGGACATGCACATACAAGCGGAGGCCCCTGCGTCTTGCTCCCGGCAGCCTCACGCAGGAATGTTGTCCACCTGCACAGGGAAACCTGCTGTTTCCTGAGGTAACCCAGGCATCTGCAGGCCCTGGCCAGAAGGCGCAATTAATTATATTTATCAGAGAATATTATTAGCTACAATGGCCAAAAAAAGTTGATAGCTGATAATGTGAATTTTCCTTTTATCAGTACTGATCCGATATGTAAACAGTATATCAGTACACCTCTAAAAGTCACATGCCTGTTCTCTGGCAGCTTTATTCATTTTGGGGCCACCCTGTTTTCCATTGGATAGTTACAGAGTACTTGGTTCATTGTGGGGCAGGAAGCCCACCAGTAGCTATCCCATGATTCTTCTTCTAACCCTTCTACAACTCCCCTTTTTTCTGCTGCCTAGCTAGGGGCTGAGATGCCATTTTTAAGCCCCTTCTTTTCTACTACCTCACAGTCTAACTCACTTGCAGTTTGCAGGTTCACTGTCCATGCTATCTGCTGGCCCAAAGCAGACAGCTTCACCTCAGTTTGGATCTTGGTGGTGAGTGCAAGGGAGCATGATTTAACTCACAACTTGTAGATGTGCTGATTCTACAAGAAGCTTGCAGAAAGCTCCAGGCAATGGGGTGTAAAGGGACATGGTGTTGGGACACAGTGGGCACTTCTAAATGTGTGCATTTACTGCTCAGTAACTGAAATTAATGCACAGTACAGGTGCACATCTACATGTGCACACCTGTACTGAGCAGTAAATATGGTGACTTATGCTGACCTGAGCATAAATCTGATACTGGCATCATGAAGGTATCAAATTTACACTTGATTAATTACTGTGCAGTAACACACATGTGGATGCATTACTGTGCAGTAACACTGTGTATGTGTGGATTGATTTAGGATTAACTTTAGTCCTAAATCAATCCACACACAGCATTAACGTGCTTTAATGCCTGTGTGTGTAGATGCTCTATTCCTGCTTACTGCACAGTAAATTTAAGCCAGCAGCAATGCATGTGTAGACACACCCAGTGAAGAGAAAGAAGGAGGCATACAGCCATGCAAAAGTTTACACCAGAAGGTCTGTGAATAGCTCAGTGTCCTGCTTTTTTTCTTTTTGTAAATGTATATCTACACTCCTAGTATCATACCACAAAAAGAAAAACCTTCACCCATTACCAAAAACCGCACCCGTGCTGAACCCATTACAATATCCGCATCATGTGCAACCCACACAAAACAAATAAGCATATCCTGGTCCCTCAGACCAGGCAACACTTCCTTTCCATCCCCACCCTGTTTGTGGGGTCACATACTCAGTTCAAGTGTCCTCTCCGTCAGTCGTTCCAGCTCCCACTGGAGGACCTGCTGCTGTTGTCGCTGTTGCTGTTGCCGTCCTCGGTTCCACTTGTCCCTTCCTCTTCTTCACTGCCACTGCCCCGTCTCTGCTTGGGGGACATTGGATGATCCTGTGCCACATGTCTCTGTGCCAGGTGACTTTGGCCATGTCCTCTCCATTCTCCACTACTGATTTCTGGTAGTAGATCCGGAGTTTGATCAGCGCCATTTTCACGCAGCCCACTACCTCTGTGTCCATGTACCTGTACAACAGGAGATTCCTGGCCTTTCACAGGGCACTCCTGATGCAGGATGCAAACTGGTCAAAACAGGGTGACAGGCTCCCCTAGTGTTTGGTGAGGTGCCCATACAGCGCCGCTTCACTGGTTAGCTGGCTGACGCTGGTCACCGCTTCACAGAGCTGCTTCACCCTTTTCCATACCTCCTGGGCACAGGTTGTAGAGCTGGAGGAGCTGATCAATTGTATTGGTGGCTCTGTGGCAGTTGGGCCATGGGCAGCGGGGTCTCCCCAACTGCTCAGCGTCTTGCTTTTGCTCTTGAAGTTTGAGCTGCTCGCTTTCTGTACGTAGTCCATCACAGAGCACAGTCTGATGATTGACCCTACAGCTGTGACAGACAGGGTGACAAAGGAGCAGGAGGCTGCTCAGATGCAGACCCCCCAGGCCAGCATCTGGAAAACACCATCTTCACAGGTGTCCTTAGAACATTTTCCAGAGCATTTTTGGCAGTAGTGAGGGCAATGCCCCAGCAAGAGACAAATGTGACTGTTGACGCATCTCCTCTGGAAGGAGCTCTAGCAACTACTGCCATCCTTACCCATATCAGCCGTAACATTGTGTCATTGTAATTTGAATGCTGGCAGCAGAATTAGTGCATCTGCTGTCAATAGTCAAAACATCAGTCTTACAAACATTACATGCAGTACCTACAACAAGCTGGAAGCCTTAGCAAACATTGGTATAAACAATACCCATTAAAATCTTGCTCACACTAATGTCCTATCTTATTCATCACATATTTATTGTGTTTTAAAAGAGAACTGATGAAAGTGTGAGAGAGTCCAAAATGCCATTTTTTTTCCATGGTCACTTGGTCAGTTTACTTTTTTCCTTCAAAATGCCCTTGAAAATGTCATCACTTTATGACCCCCATTAAGCACTTGAATCATCTAATACAAAACACACAGGTTTTAGAGAACTCTATCAACCCACAAAAAATAAAATGTCCGTTGTCCAGGTCAACCATAACTGATGTTGCCATGTTGTGATGGATCTGGATATTAGCCTTATAAAATATTACTGTCAAAATTGCCTTCAGTCTCCTGACTGAAGGCAATTCATGACTTAAGAAGAGGCAACAAAGGGTGGTAGCATTTTGCAAGGGTGTGACTGGTTTGAGCACCTAATACTCATTGATTGTTGGGAAACAGAGCAAACAGCAGATGTATGATACTTTCAGGTGATACTAAACTAGGAAAAGCTGCTGTTTATCAGTGAGGATGGATAAACAGTGCAAAAAGCAGAGAGAGACTAGAAGTAAGGAAATAAAATAGGTTTCAGCTTGCAAAAAACAGAATTAAAATGTGTAGAAATGTCCTCTGAAACACAAGCACTGCCTGGGAGGGAGTATGGAGAAAGCAGTTATCTCTAGAGGGGAGAGGGGGCTGTAACTGAGAAATGAACTTGTGCAGCCTGAGACAAATCCAGGATATGAAGATGGAATATGTTGTGTTGTTTGGGTACTGTGTTATAGGAAAGAAGTAGATAAATTGGACGAAACTCAGAAGAAAAAAAACAAGAAAAGTTCTGGAGACTGGAGGGATTAATAGGCGAGAAGAGACAGAAGGGCTAAATCTGCCTTGCATGACTAAGTGGAGATTTGGGGGACAACATCACAGTCTGCAAGTGACTGAAAGATTTTAACAGTATAGAGGAAGAAACTCATGTAGGGTGGAACTTGGGAGACCAAACAGATAAAATTAAGAAAAGAAGAAAATGTAGGCAGATTGTTAGGAAAAATGGGCTAGGAGTAACATATAGGAGGCTGCAAAACAGACTTAGCAAATTGAGGTGGACAGATAGAGCACACAAAGTGCTAGAAGATCTAAAATTGTGAAGAAACCTGCATTAGCCGTGGATAAATGGACTGGATCTCTTAGGGTGGGATGAAACAGGACATGGAGGGTTGGGGCTGGGGCTGAGGGCAAAGAAAGAGTAAAATGGATCTCCCTGCCTTTAACCTTACATTTGTTGTTTAGCGTAAGAGCTGCTTTCCTGAGACGGAGGAGAAGGTGAAGCATCTCAAGAGGAAAAATGCGGAGCTGGCGGTGATTGCTAAGCGCCTGGAGGAAAGAGCAAGAAAACTCCAGGAGGCAAATCTCAAAGTAGTAAGTGTTTAAGTCTTTGCAGCCAGATATGGTATGGCACTGCCTGTCTAATCACTTTCTGAAGCTACAGTGTGAGTGTTAATTTTTAGGAAAGAGAGGAAAGTGAAAGGGAATGAGAGCTGGAGCTGAGTGGAGGGTGGTGGGGAGGTTATTTTCCTCGCTGCAAGTTTTATCCTCTGGCTAACAGAATTCAGTGGGCCACAGGCAGGCTCCTTGGGAGCATCCAAGCCTTAGCTTCTGGGTGATGTGAAAGTAGTCCCAGCAGTGAGAGAGCCCTTCTTCACTGGAACTAGAGAAGGAGGAGAGTCATATCAGGGCAGTGGTTCCATTTTTGTCCTCCACAGATTCTGAGACACTGCAGCTGTCATGCAGGGTTGTGGGTGGCAAGGCCTGAGGCCACTTGGGATTGAGGTGCTGACCAAGCTCAGGAGGAGTGCGCAGAATTCAGGGATGAGCTGGGTCAGGAAGTCAGGAGATCAGACTGATAAGCTGGGTCAGGACATCAGAGAGCAGGGTCTAGGAACAAGCTGAGTCAAGAAGCTGGAAGATCAAGCACTGAGCAGAGTCAGAGCACAAGTTGGAGGGAACAGTAAAGTGACCTGGGATCATGTCGAGCCCTGCTACCCAGACACTTCCTGTTATGGGTCACAGGTTTATATGCAGAAGGTGGAAGGTCAGTTTACCACAGCTGGCCACTCCAGTGACAGGGAGTGGGTGGAGGATTAGACCCTACTGGAGGCTTCACAATAGCTTTATTGGGCCTGGGGTGGCAGGCCAAGGCCCCAGGTTCAAGTCTGTGGCCTGACATCAGTGTGCTTACAAAAGTGCAGAGACATGGATTAGAATGAGAGGCCATGGCAGTGTGTGGGGTGCTGGCAGGAGGTGGGCTGGAAGCCTGTGTCACTGTGCGGGCATCACCCTGTATTATGCATTAAGTGGGCTGCCAGCCTGCTTGTTTCTTTAATGTATATAGGGCAGAAGTTACCATTGGTTTTAAGTGCCAAATGCAATATTAGCCACAGGTCATTTGAAAGGAGCCTGAAACATGGCTCATCTCAGCTGTTCAGTTTCTGATTTAACTGGCATTTGTTCTGTCCTTCTCCTTCCTTAGAAGGATTACAATAATGAACTAGCCATTTCTGTGGTAATAGTACATCTGCAGAGACATGGCATGGGACAGAGAACAGAGTGCTAGCCCTCCTGCTATGGGACATGAGTGCCACTGATGAACAGCTCAGGTCTTTCCCTTTTTGTTCAAGGCTTTCCTTGAAGTGTGGTTCTCCAAAGTGGATACAGTCCTTCAGGTGAGGTCTCACCAGTGCTGAATAGAATAGAAGAAACATTTCCTAAGATTTTCATATGACACTCTTGTTAATATATCCCAGTTTGCTATTTTCTTTTATTGTAACAACATTATACTGTTGACTCATATTCACCTTGTGATCCATTATAATCCCCAGATCCTTCTCTGCAGTACTGCAGCTTAGCTAGTCATTCCCCATTTTGTATATGTGCATTTGATTTTTCCTCCCTAAATGTAGTATTTTGTATTTGTCCTTACTGAGTTTCAGACTTTTCCAATTTATTAAGATTTTTTTAAATCTTAAACCTGTCCTTTAAAGGGCCTGCAATCCCATCCATCTTGGAGTCATCTGGAAATTTCGTAAATTCACATTCAGTTCCATCCTTACATCATTAATAAAGATACTGGGTATGTCTGCAGGTTCATTAATGCGCTGTAGTTACTGCACATTAAGTTTAGTATTTGTAGAACCAAGTGCTAAATCAACGTACAATAACTGGCCTTACTACTCAGCAGCACTGGCGAATGCCTTTCTAGTGATGTCACTGCACGGTAGCCTATTAAGACTGTGCAGTAGCTTATTAGCACTGTTTCTGCCATGATGTGCTACTGTGTAGCATTATTAGGCTACTGTGCATTTAGTACTTTGTGTAGATGAGCCCGCTGAATATTACAGGTTTCCTTTGCTTTATGCTGTACATGTGTTCCTGGAAAATGGCGCATAACTTGAATTCACATAAAGGGAACCCGCTTTACAATGTAACAAATAGAGATATGTTCCAAGACCTCAACTGTACTGACCCCCAGACCCATTTCTACCACTTTTACAAGACAGTTTTGGTACTACTACTCACCAACATCAGACAGCACACACAAGCACAGGGCATTATCATAATGGGGATGGCAACTACAGAAACGTGTCGCAGACAACAAGCAAGGAGCACAGATCCACACGGGAGACTGTATTGTGGTGTATGTCACTCCCACAACACACCGCACAAAGCATCTGACTGGGTTTCCGCCACACAAATCGTGTAAGAATGAATTTACCTTGCACATAATGAACTTTTGGTATAAAAAGGGTCATTGAATAAGAGTGAATTCGTACATACAGAATCTGCATAAAGTGAGGGAAACCTGTATCAGACTCAGGGCAGACTTCTGGGGAAACCCGCTTGAAGCTTCCTTCCAGTTTGAAACTGAGTTGCTGATGACTACTTTTTGACTTTGATTATTCAACCTGTTATACATTCACCTCATAGTAGTTTCATCTTGACTATGTTTCCTTAGCTTATTTATGAAAATATCGTGGGAGACAGTGTCAAAATCTTTGCTAAAATCAAGAAATATCACATCCATTACCCTCCTGCTATCCTCAAAACTTGTTAGCATGCTGTAGAAAGAAGTTAAATTATTTCAGGCACAAGTTGCTCTTGACAAATCCATGCTGACTGTTAGGTATCACTTTGTTATTCTCTAGTTATATTGTTTGTTAAATTACAGATTGATTGTTTGATAATATGCTCCAGGATCTTTTCAGCTGAGTTAAACTGATAGTCTATCATTCCTTGGGCCCTCTTTTCCTTCTTTTTAAAAGGAGATTCCTGTATTTGCCCTTTTCCCGTCTTCTTGGGCTTAACTGCCATGAGTTCTCAAAGATGATGGGTAATAACTCTGGAATTACTGCAACCAATTCCTTGATCACTTAGGGGTGAATCTTGCCTGGCCTGCTGATTTAAAAAGCTGATCGTTTACCCCAGCTTGTTCTGCTTTCCCTGCTCTGATTGTTCTGGGCAGCTGACATTTGAACAGTTTGTAAGGACTGAAACAAAAGAGCATTAAATATAGGTACTTCAACATTCTCCCACTGTCTACTTCCCACTCCATTCAGTAAGGGGCCAACATTTCTTTGATCTTATTTCTAATATATTTATAGAAAGCGTTTGTTTGTTTGTTTGTTTTACCCCTTCACCTCTTTTACCTTCTTGCCTCTACCAGTGCATTTGGCATTTCTGTCTTCTGTAAAGTACCTTCTATTTGTCCTGTTGAAATGTTACTTAATTGTTTGCAGCCTAACTCTCCAATTTATCATGATTGTCTGGGATTTTAATTCCGTTCCCCCAAATTATTTGTCATCCCACCTAATTTTGTGTCCTCTGCAAATGTGGGGAGCATATTTGTCACTCTTTTATCAAAAACTAATAAAAATATTTAGGAGCAGTGGACTCAGACCTGATCCCTTTAGATCCCGCTCAATTCCTCCTCCTAGTTTGATATCAATCCCTTAATTACTATTTGTTGCCTACAGTCTCCTAACCAATTATCTGCCCATCATATGGTAGTTCTTTTTTAGTTCATAGTTCTCGTTTAGTCATGAGACTGCCACATGGGAATCTGGAAAACTTTACTGAAATGGAGACACATTATATCTGCCTTGTTCCTTTTATTCACCAATCCAGTTATTCTTCCAAAGGACGAAAACAAATTGGTTTGGCATGATTTGTTTTTTGAACAGCAATCACTTTTTTGTCCCCTAGGCCTTTACAAAGCAATTGTTATAGAATTTAAGTCACTTCCCTAGCATTGATTTTAGACTGACATGTCTATTGTTCTTTTGGTCTCCCTCCCCAGCTTTCTTAACTATAGGTATTATGTTTTCCTTCTTCAAGGCTTCCATGACTTCTTCAAGATAGTTGCTAATTACTAATATCTTTCTATGATCTCATTAGCTAGCTCCTTCAGCACTCTGTTGTGTATTTTGTCAGGGTTTGTTGGCTTGAATTCATTCAAAAGAGTCAAATAGTCTTTTATGCTCCTTGTCTTCATCTTGAGCTGTAATCTTTCCCCCGTCTCTGTTTACACTGATTTGGCTAGCTGTCTGCTCACAATGTGAAGGTAAAAGCAAGGTAGTCATAGAGTAGCTCTGCCTTCTTTTTGTTACCCATCACTAATTCACCTTCACCATTAAACAGTGGATCCACAATTTTTTTTAATCCTTTTCTTACTTATGATGTACTTGAAAAAACACTCATTGTTTTTAATATCGTTTGCTGCTTGTAATTCATCTTTTGTTTCTGTTTTCCTGACTTTGTTCCTACTTGCTTGTTCTGCAGCCTGGTCTAGCTCTTCAGTGACAGTCAGTACTGCTTTTGACTTTTAGGTACTTAAAAGCATTGGGTATGAAAAAGTTATTTTACAATTTGCCTTGTCTTTTCCTATGTATCAAAATACATTGCAGTTGATACTCTAATATATTCTTTAGGAACTTTCAACCCCTATGCATTCCTTTTTCCTTTAATTTATCTATCTGTGGGACCTTTTCTGTTATTTCAGAGGTTGTTAAAATCTGGTTTTCTGAAGTTCTGTGTCCTTGTTTTGCTGTCAATCAGTCTTGCATTTATTAGGATCATGATTTTTTCTCCATTCACGGTCCCCTTCACTGATGATATTGACCACTTTTATATTTTCAACCTGTTCTTCCCTCTTGGTCAGAACCAAATTTTAGATTTGACTCCCTAGTTAATTCTTTACATTTCTGGTCCAGAAACTTGTCCCTTATGCATCTTAGGAATTTGCTGGACATGTTATTTTTTAGATATTGGGGTAGCTAAAATTTCCCATCATTACTCTTTTGTATCTTTTAGATGCTCTTGATATCTGCTCAAAAATTCATTATCAACGTCCTCTTTCTGATGTG